ACCAGGCCTTCCACCAGGCCCTCATACTTTGGCATGGAGTCGTTTGCCAAAAGCTGGAAGCAGTCGGTTCTCCCAGGGGGACTGAAGTTTGGTCAAGGAGGGATAATTGTGGAACTTGGAGTCTCAGAGTGAAATTGTTTTTCCTGCTGGAAGAAAAGGTAGCCAGTTAGTACAAGGCAAAAAAAAAGGATGTTTACTAAAGGAGATTTCCAGTTGTTCCTTCCTGCACAGGGCCAGGAAGGTGGAAGCCTAGACAAAGTATAGGCTCTTGATTTAGAAAACTCAGAGACTCATTTGGTGGGTTCCACTGCCCCTCCTTGCCATCTTGATGCCTCACCCCCAAAGGCCAGCCCCGACCCCCGCTCACTCCCCCACGGTCCTCTACTCCTGTCCCTGTTTCTCCTCCAGTCCCCAAACTCCTGCCACCTTCCAGGCCTGGATTACCTGTGACCTCTGGCTACTCTCTCCCCCTACCCTTGGTTTCAGAACTGGGCCCCAGAAATTCCCCAAACCCAGCAGTCCTTCCCCTGATGAGCCAGTCTTGGCTGAGTAGAGAATTCCTGACTGAGTGCGGACACCTGGGTGGTAGTCTTGGCTCTTGTTCTGGGTCTCGGGCCCTTACTTTACCTTCCTGAATCTCACGTTTTGGAACCAGGAAAAACAAATCCTGCCTTTTAAGGCTGGTTTTGAGGAGCAAATGATCTCATTTGACATTTCTCGAAACAAAATGTGTTTTGTCTATATATTAAGAGGTGTCTGGGGGCTGGGATTGTGGCTCAGCACTGGAGTACCTGCCTAGAACGTGTGAGGCCCTGGGTTTGATCCTCAGCACCACATAAAAAATAAATAAATAAAATTAAGATATTAAAGAAAAGGAATACAGAAAACAATAAATTAAAAAAAAAAAAAGAAGTGTCTGGGTAGCAGGCCTAAGCAAACAACAAAATGGGTTCTGTAGAACTGAACGTGTCCCTTGGCAGGATTTATCAGAGCCTTTAATGTGTTCATGTACAACAATCCTCTAAGAAAACAGGAGACAGAGATCAGGCACCCTGCTGCACACCTGTGATCCCAGCCACCTGGGAGGCTGAGGCAAGAGGATTTTTGAGGTCAACGTGGGCAACTTAGTGAGACCCTGTTTCAAATAAGTAAAAAGAGCTGGGGGTCTAGGTCAGAGGCACAGCCTCCCTGGGTTCCATCCCCAGTGCCAATGAAGGGAAAAAAAAAAAAAAAAACAGGAGGAAGAGTTTCTCCAATTGACCTGATCACAAAGCCCTTACTCCCCTTTTCCACGGCTCCTCTAGTAGTGAAGTCTCTCAGAACATGGGAGAGCTCTGGCCCTGCGCCTCTTGGATTTGTAGAGGAAGTAGCGTGGTAACCTTTCCAGGAGTCCTAGAGGTCGGCCTGGCCTCCTAGGTGCCTAAAGTCAAACTTTCTAAAGTATCCCAGTTGGTCGCCTAGGGACATGATCCCTGTAAGCTCTTGCTGTAAGTGTCTCCAGCTCCGCCCCTGTGAGATGAGTCTCTACCCCCCAAGATCACCCACCCTTCCCAGAGCCTCGCTCCCCTCTAAGCCCCGCCTGACTTTGGCCATCACATGGTCTCATCACTACTTCAACCCACCCTCCTCCCATCTTCTGCCTTCACTTACCAAAATCCAGACACCTTTCAAATTTTGATTCTTTTTTTTTTTTTTTTGTACCTGAGACCAAACCTAGGAGACTTTTCCACTGAGCCACATTCCCAGCCCTTTAAACTTTTTATTTTGAGACAGAGCCTTGCTAAATTGATGAGGCTGGACTTGAACTTGAGCTCCTTCTGCCTCAGCCTCCTGAGTCACTGGGATTACGAGTGTGAACTGCCGCAGTCTGGCTGGGCACAAATAACCGAGCTGCCACAAAGCCTTGTAGGTTCAAACAGCAATTCTTTATTCCCCAACTCTCACCGCCACTGCTCTGGAACTCCAAAGTAGTGGGCACCCGAGGCAGATTCCAGAGCCGCCCTATTCCCGGAGCAGGGTCCATATACAACTCAATCGATCCAGCATCACAGCAATTAAATACAGCTTAACTCAAATCATCAACTCAAGGGTTCCATGGTGTCACCTTTCAACCATTCCCTCTGGCAATATGCCAGGCGTCATTCTGACTGGGCTATGGCTCTCAACAGTGCACCACCACGCCTGGCTCTTCCAACATTCTCCTGTGGAAACTTTCTAAAAGAAATTTGAAAAAAAATAATGAATTTGAAAAACTATGAGTCCCCTCTGCATACTGAATTACCAAAATTTTTTTGTCATAAACCTATGTTGTTGGGACTGGGGATGTGGCTCAAGCGGTAGCGCGCTCGCCTGGCAGGCGTGCTGCCCAGGTTCGATCCTCAGCACCACATACCAACAAAGATGTTGTGTCCGCTGAAATAAAAAAAATAAATATTAAAAAATTCTCTCTCTCTCTCTCTCTCTCTCTCTTTAAAAAAAAAAAGCTATGTTGTTGCAAAGGTTATAACTTCTAGTATACTATCAATATCTTCAATTTACAGTTGAATAAATATATTACTTTTTAATTTTAATTTCAAGAGATTTTTTCTTTAATTTTTAAAACATATTTTTGTTCTATTTAGTAATACATGACAGTAGAATGCATCTTGACACATCTTAAATGGAGTGTAGCTTCTCATTCTCTGGTTGTATACATGATATAGAGTTACACAGGTCATGTAATCATATATGCATATAGGGTATTCCTACCCCTATATACCCTCCCTTCCTTTCAATCTCCTCTGTCTAATCCAAGTACTGCTATTCTTCCCTAGCGCCCCTGCCCAATTGTGAATTAGCATTCACATATCAGAAAAAAACATTCAGCCTTTGGGATTGGCTTATTTTACTTAGCGTGATATTCTCCAGTTCCATCCATTTACTAGCAAATGCCATAATTTTGTTCTTCTTTAAGGCTGAGTAATATTCCATGTGTATATGTACCACAATTTCTTTATCCATTCATCTGTTGAAGGGCATCTAGATTGGTTTGATAGCTATTGTGAATCGAGCTGCTATGAACCTTGATGTGGCTGTGTCACTACAGTGTGCTGATTAGTCTGTGGGTATAAACTGAGCAATGGGATAACTGGGTCAAATGGTGGTTCCATTCTAAAATTTCTGAGGAACTCTCCATACTGCTTTCCAGAGTGGTTGCCCCAATTTGCAGTCCCACCAGCAATGATTGAGTGTAATTTCTTCCCCACATCCTCACCAACACTTATTGTTACTTGTGTTCTTGATAATTGCTGTTCTTACTGCAGTGAAATGGAATCCTAGTGTAGTTTTGATTTGCATTTCTCTAATTGCTAGACATGTTGAACCTTTTTTCATATATTTGTGGATCGATTGTATTTCTTCTTCTGTGAAGTGCCTGCCTGTTCAGTTCCTTAGCCCATTTATTGAATGGGCTATTTTGGTTTTTGGTATTAAGGTTTTTGAGTTCAAAAGAGTTCAAAAGAGATTTTTTTTAAAGATGTTTTTGAAGAATAGTTGTTGTAGTAAATCAAATGCTTTTCACCAATTCTGGATCTTTTGATTTCTAAGGCTGATGGTTAAGCCAAGATTGTGAGGCATGTTTTCAAAGCTCTTGGCCCCCAAGAATTGGGCCTCAGCCTTTCCTGCACAGGGTTTCTCACTGTTTCCAAACCAGGCAGTGAAGATGGTTCCATGAAGGTGGGGGTATCTGCCTTGCAGAATCTGTCATGGGCATTTCAGGCTGTGCTTTGTGTCCTCTCAGTTACTTGCTGTGTGGTCAGCTGACCAGAAAAGGAAGAGAAGGGCAGGTTTGTGTAAAAGTGTTACTTTTTTTTTTTTTTTTTTTTTTTTTTTTTGCCATGATGGGGATTGAACCCAGGGCCTTGTGCATACCAGGCAAGCACTCTGCCACTGAGTACACTCCCAGGTGGGACATTGCTCTTTAAAATGTTTTACGATGGCACTTAAATATCATGGAAATTTAACAAATAATGTCCATTTGAAAAAATAACTGGGCAGGTGGCACACAGCTGTAATCCGAGCACTTTGGGAGGATGAGGCAGGATTGCAAGTTTGAGGTCAATCTCGACATTTTAGTGATTAAAAAATAAAAAAGACCAAGAATGTCCTCCTAGTAAAGTGCCCCTGGATTTAAACCCCAGCACCAAGAAAACAGCAACAAAAGACCAACCTGGGAAAAATAGGGAGACCCTGTTTGAAAACAAAAACAAACTCTGTGTGTTGAACAGACATGATCCCCCTTTCTTCCTGGATGCCTGCATTCTCTTCTACTCCCCACAGTTGTCTCCCTTTGGGGCACTAGGGATCAAGTCCAGCGGTGCTCTACCACCGAGCTGCATCCCCAGTCCTTTGTTATTTGAGATGGGACCTTGCTAAATTGCCAAGGCTGGCCTTGAACTTGCAATCCTCGATCCTCCAGCCTCAGGACTCCCAAACACCTGGGATTACTGGCGTGCACACCGTGCCCAGAGGAGCTCATCATGATCACAATAGTATGTTTCTGCAACAAAAATATTTGTGAAATATAAATTTTTCTAGACTTGGCTATGAGTAGTACTTAATTGGTGAAAGCAACTTAAATACAATACAGTAACAGTCAATAAAGCAACGAATTTTTGTGTGGTGCGGTGACCACACCTGGAATCTCAGTGACTCAGGAGGCTGAGGCAGGAGGATCACATGTTTGAGGCCAGCCTGGGAAACTTAGACCTGTCTCAAAAGATAAAAATAAAAAAAGGGCAAGCGGTGAACTCGGGAGCAGAGTATCTCTGGGTTTAATCCCCAGTATGATGGAGTCTATAGGGAAATAATCCAAGAAAATTTATTTGTTTATTTATTTTTCTCCTGAGATAGATGGGATTATTGTACTTTGTTTTTCTTTCCTTTATTTTATTTTATTTTTTGTTCATACTAGAGATTGAATCCAGGAGTGCCTAATCACTGAGCCACATCCCCAGCCTGTTTAATTTTTTATTTTGAGACAGGGTCTTGCTAAGTTGCTAGGGGCCTTTGTAAATTGCTGAGGCTGACCTTGATTTGTAATCCTCCTGCCTCAGCCTCACAAGCCACTGGAATTACTGGCTTGGGCTTGTATTTTACTAGGCTTGCTTTTTTCCCTCCTTTTCTTCCCCACAAAAACCACATATATTTATGGATAAATATCACTGATTGCTAGAAGGAGAGGGCTCACTCTTAATTCAATTTATACACACACACACACACACACACAATTATTTTTGGATGTTGATGGTCCTTTTATTTTATTCATTTATTTATATGTGTTGCTGAGAATCAAACCCAGTGCCTCACACAGGCTAGGCAAGCACTCTATCACTGAGCCATAAAACCAGCCCTCAATTTCTGTTTTTAATCTTTATACATTACAAGCATTGGACAATGTTGTTCATGCCAATAAGTGGGTGGGATTAAAGGGGGCTTTGTCCAATGGGGGCAGGCAATTCTTTGAATTTCCTCTGAGAATGGTGAAACCTACATAGTGATCTGTGCACAAGAGTAACTGTTTCATGATTTTACATTTATACCCCTGGCCTTCAACAGTTCTGTAAAAATGACACTTGTTATGTTATCATGTAACAACACAGCAGTTGTAACCAGATCACCATTGCTAGCACCTCCTTAATGGCCTCCCTGCCCACCCTGTCCACAGTACAGCCCCTGCCCCACCCCTTCCCACCAGCCACCCCCTGTCTTGCTAGTTTATTTCCTGGGAGCCCTTGCCCCCAAATGCATCCATCCGGGGTTTCTTCTCTTGTGGCTGGGCCTGGACTGGGCAGGGAAGGGGTGGGTCATGCCAAGTTGGAGCCGATCTTTATCCAAAAGTTTGATATTTTGTTCCTTGTGGATTCTTTTACAATATTGCCCTTAAGTGTTATTTCTTCTAGGGACTTAGTGTTTTTGGCATCCCCTGAAGTTTTGTGGCCCAGGCGAGTACCTCACTCCCCTGCCTCAAGTCCTGGCCCTGGGTTCTTGGTTCTCTCTCTCATCTCCCATGAGCCCCTCGGGCAGGGTCCAAGGCATACAGAAAGGGTCATCACCTTATTATAGATGGAGGCCCACAAGACTAACCATCCGACCCCTTGGTACTCATCTCTGCCTTTCCTGCCCTCTGCCAGCTTCTCTGCCAGCCCCTCGCCCTTGGGTGCACTCTGGTCAGAGGTGTGAGGCGTTCCTGCCCAGCCAGCCTCTGTCCCCATGCCTGCTCCCCTGGCCACTTGATGGGTGCTCTTCCCCTCTGAGCAAGGCAGGGTGTGACAGGAGCAGAGGTCCCCTGTATCCCCAACCTGCCTCTGACCCATGCCTATGCCTGGATGCTTAGGAAGGTTCTAAGTTTGCCCCCCTCCTCCTCCTCCTCCTCCTCCTCTTCCCCTCCCAGCCTGAACCTCAAGAGCCCCTGGATAATGCTGATGCTGACGGTAGGAGTGATCCCAGAAAATATGTCCTGAGGGCTGGCTGTGTGCCAGCTGCTGTATAGATAGTCTCAATCAAACCTGACATTAGTTTCTGACATCAGTACTAGTATTGCCCTCATTTTACTAACAAGGAGACGGAGGCAGCTTGTCCAAACTTATCCAGCCAAAACATAGTGGTACCAGGCAGAACTTGCTATATCATTTGTGGGACCCAGTGCAAAATAAAAATGAGGGGGTCCCTTATTTAAAAACAACTATTAATTTCAAGACAGCAACATCAGAGCATTAAATGTAGGGCCCCCTGTGACTATACGGGTTCACGCCCATGAAACCAGCCCTGGAACCCGAATTTGAACCCAGATTCTAACTCCAGACCCCACAGACTCTACACTTGAAGGAAATAATCATAACCATAATCATGCTCTAGGCAGTGTGCAAAACCTTAAGCCCTTTCAGCCGCCCTGTGGGGGGTGGGTATTATTACCTCATTTTTGAAGAACCTAAGCTTTAGAGAAGTTAGGTTACTCTCCAAGCTCCCCCAGGTGTAGTTCTGAACATGGGACCAATTCCAGAGCCAAGGTTCTTCTCCCTGTGCCATGGCAGCCTCTCTAAGGATCACAAAGGCAGGAACTAAAATGGAGCTGGGCACAGCTCAGGCAATTTCTTAGAAACTTTGTCCTCAGGGCTGATCACTGGGGGTCCAGCTGCCGTGCTTATGACGGAAAGGTGCCCCAAGTCTGCAGGTACTTCCATCGGGGCTTCTGCTTCCACCAAGATCGATGCAGGTAAGTGTGAGGGGCTGGGGGCAGGGATGCTGGAAGAACTACCTTTTGTGGACTGTGTCCTCCCTGAGTCTCCTCTACTCAGCCTCCAGGCTGAGCTAGCTCTGAGCCCTAGAGGGCTATCCCTGTCTCCTCACTCTCTTCCCCATACAGCTATCAGCACCTGAGGACCCCCGTGCCCCCAGAATGGGGCTACCACCATCCAGAGTCACATGTCACTCTTCTGGAGCCCCAGCTGGGACTGACCCACAGGGGTTCGGAGCCCACCCACCTGCCCTCCATTGCTATGGCCATAGGCTGGGCCTGGCCTCATCCCCACTGGGACATGGAGCCTGATCTGCGGGAGGTTGGTGGCAGTTCCTGGAAACCTCTGTCTCCATCACGTGAGTCATTAGGGGATGCAACTTTTTAAAATTTCAAATTTTAAGCTAATATATCTTTTAATGTTTAACCCGTAGATTTGAGGTGTCCCTCAAAAGCTCATGTGTGAGAAAATGAGAGAATTTTCAGAAATGAGAAGATTATGAGAACTTTAACCTAATCAGTGGATTAATCCACTGATATGGATTAACTGAGCATTAACTCTAGACAGAGAGGGTGTGACTAGGGGAGGTAGGTCACTGGGGGGGTACATGCCTTTGGGTTTATATTTTGTCCCTGGTGAACAGAGCTTTCTCTCTGCTTCCTGGCTCTAATGTTCTGAGATACTTTCCTCCCCACACCCTTCCACCATGATGTTCTGCCTCACCTTGAGCCCAGATCTATGGAGTTGGCTGATGAACCAAAAAAAGCTTTTCCTTCTCTGTATTGTTCTCATCAGGTCTTTTGGTAGCAACAATGAAAAAGCTAATTAAAACATTATCAAAGCATATATCCAGTGCTATCAATATTATTCATTATGCAATGAAATATTAAGCATTGTTAGTGCTGGGTGCGGTGGTGCACACCTGTATTTTCAACTACTGGTGAAGCTGAGCAGGAGGATCTGAAGTCCCAGGCCAGCCTAGGCAACTTAGCAAGACTCTGATCACAATAAAAAGAGCTGGGGATGTAGCTCCGTGGTAGAGTGCGCCTGGGTTTGATCCCCAGTATCTTAAAATAAGATTAGGACTGGACTCTGAACTACACGGGGCAGGGTTTGGGGCCAGCTCTGAACCCTGCGTGCTACATCAGTGGGTGAATGATGCGCTTTTCCCCACAGCTGCTGGCGGGCATCTCAGCCACTCCCAGGAGTCTTGGCCAGAGTCCCACCCTTTCCCGGAGCTGACAGCCCCACTTCGGAGCCTGGACCTTGATGAGTGGCAGGTAGCAGGGAAGGGGTGGCAGAGGCTGGCTGCTGCTGCACCTCTGGGGATGCCCCGACCTTCTGGGGGAGGGGACTGGAGAAGGCTCTGGGGCTGTTTGGGGGGTAGGAGTGGGCAAGTGTTTCACCCCCTCTGTGGTTGCAGGGAAAGCAGGACAGTCGGGATGTGGTGTGTGGCATCTGTATGGAGAAAGTGTGGGACAAGCCGGAAGCTGAGCGCGTGTTTGGCATCCTGCCCAACTGTACCCACGCTCACTGCCTGGGCTGCCTCCGTACCTGGCGGAAGAACCGTCGGAACCTTCCGCTGAATGTCATCAAGTCAGTGTCATGCAGGTGCCGGCAGGGAGGGAGGGAAGGAAATGCCCACAGAGACATGGACCAGGAGGCCAGTCTGTGGGCTTGCGCCCGCCACCCCCATTCAACCCCCACCTATCCCATGCAGGGCCTGTCCCCAGTGCCGAGTTCATTCCAGCTACATGATTCCCCACAAGTTCTGGGTGGGCGAAGGGCCCGAGAAGGAGCAGCTCATCAGGAATTTCAAGGCTTGGACCAGGTGAGGCAGGCTGGGTGGGGAGGAAGGAGGTGGCTCCCAGCCTGGGATCCTCAAACACTGGAAGATCAGAAGTGGCCCAAAAGGCTGTGACCAGTTTTTATAATTTTAGCAATTTTTTTATAATTTTTATAATTTTGGCAGCAGGAGTGGGCAGGGTTAATTTTCTATCTCTTTCTATTTATCTATCCGTCTATTAATTAATTAATTTATTTATTTTGAAGTACTGGGGATTGAACCCAAGGGTATTCTACCACTAAGCTACATCCCCAGTCCTTTTTTTTGGTCAGCATCTTGCTAAGTTGCAGGCCTTGAACTTGTGATCCTCCTGTCTCTAGCTTCCTGAGTAGCTGGGATTACAGATGTGTGCCACGATGCCTAGCTATTTTCAATGTGTTTTTTTTTAAGACAGGAAAATACATTGATATGAATGCATGTTGTTTGCTTTGATCTTTGAAAATATGGGGTCCCTGACAAGGGTATTGAAGGGCAGCCCTTGAAAATGAAAATTAGGTACCCTTTAAGATACTTCACTGCCACCTGCTGGAAGAGAGTGGAAGAAGTGTAAAATCTACACTGGTACTTGGTACCGGCTTAGATGGGATGCTTTTGTGCTGGGTAAAACCTGCCCAACCTTGTGTCAGTCTAGAGAGCTCCTTGTTCCTGAAACAACAGAGCTTGGAGGTGATGGTCTTTATCTACCTCTACCTTGTCACAGCCAGATCCCCTGCCGGTTCTTCATGCGGGGGAGAGGCCGCTGCCCCTTCAAATCTGACTGCATCTACCTGCACCAGCTTCCAGCTAAGACCCGGGTCTCTGGTCCTCCTTGGCCTAACAGTGTTCAACTGGTCTCTGGGAGTAAGGTGATAACAGTAGGGACATGGGATCAGGGAGGCTCCTGGTCATGGTATATAATTAATGTCCATGGCAACTGTAAATCTCTGTGTGATGTCTGTAGTGTGGATGGTGCCTGTGCTTACACCACTGTGCTGTGTCCAACCTGCCCAGCTCACACGTGAGCCTTGAGCTCCCTGTTTCCAGGACAATCTCGGTTGAAGCTGATGGGTTTTCAATAATTTTTCTCTCTAGTTCCAGGTACTAGGCCCAGCACTGTTCTTAAGGGGCCACCAAGCCAGAAGAGGATATGTTCTTCACAGACTGTGCCCTGGCTCTGACTCTCTGAGCTTCAGAACTCCTGCCAGGTCTCAACAGTTCTCTGTGGCCTGCTGCACCAGGATCGGCTGGAGGAGATGGGACGAGGGGAAGGGCTGGTGGTTCTTTCCCCTGTGGGGTTTAGTGGTAGGCAAAAGTAGCCAACCCTTTACCCCTGTGAACTACAGCAGTGACACAACTGGGGGACACAGGAATGGAGGATGGCTTCTGGGGTGAGAAAGGATTCTCGCCTGCTTGCCAGTGTCTTGGCTTTTAAATTTGCTTTTTTGTAGGATTTTTAGAAGAAAACTAATAAAATGTACCTAAGCTGTCACTGTGCATCTGAAGAATGATCTGCTTATAGCCCAGCCCCACCCCCAAGGGGAATAGGGTTACTCTTTCATTCAATTTGTTATACTTTCACCTGTCACATAGCTTCTGGAAGTCTCTGCTGTACACATATAAGAGGAAGCAAATGAGAAAGGGAAATAACATCATGAAACTGTTATGACCTTACAAAGCCTTTGAAAGGATCTCCAGATCTCCCAGAACCCTTGAACTGTTTTTAGAATTCCCCCCCCCCCATTTTCCTTCCAGTTGGCTAGATGCAGATCTTGGTGCGGGAGCTGTAGAGTAGGGAGTGAGATTATAGTTGAGGCTGGCAGGCGTTCCTGGTTCTTCATGGCCCGACCCACATCTTGATTACCCTATTTAAAAGTACCTCACCCTGATTCCCTTCTGTGCTGTCCCTCACCCCTCTAGTACTGGGGATTGAACCTGTGGTGTTCTACCAGTGAGCTACATCTCCAGTTCTTTTATTTTTTTATTTTGAGATGGTCTTTCTAAATTATTGTGGCTGGCTTTGAACTTGCCCATCTCCTCCTGTCTCAGCCTCCCAGAGTCACCGGGATTATAGGTGCACACCACTGCATCTGGCTTCTTGAAAGTTCTATATCACAAACATTCTATTGCTTACTTATTTAGCTTTTTCTCTTCACTTGTATGTCAGTGATGAAGGCAATGACCTGTGTTTGGTCCCCTGTATTCCCAGTTCCTAGGTGCTCAGTAAACTTTTTTTTTTTTTTTTTTTTTTTTTTTTTTTTTTTTAGTATTTTGTTTTAGTTGGGAAACAATGCCTATATTATGTGGTGCTGAGGATGGAACCCAGCGCCTGGCATGTTGAGCCACAACCCCAGCCCCTAGTAAACACTTACTGAATGAATGGATCTGTGTGGCACCAGAGTTGGGGGGACGGATAGTACAAGTTGGCTCCCAAAGTGGAGATTTATGGGCCACTGAGGGCTGGCTCTTCCTACTCCTAGAGTTCAGTGATCTCTTGTATCCTCTAAGTGGAAGGTGGCACCACTCCTGGCACCTATAGACAATCAGGGCAAGACTGCTACTTGGTCTTTGAAAGATTCACAAAATAATTGTAGATGACTGAAACATCAAACGGGGCAGCATTTGACTTGGTTGAAATTAAATGGCAGGGTAAATACCATAAATTTCCCCTTTTCTTTTTGCGGTACTGGGGAGTCCACCCCAGGTGCTAGCACAGCCAGGTAAGCATTCTACCCCTGAACTACAGCCCCAGCCCTCCGGGCCTTTATTCTGCCCCATCGCTTCTGCGGGTGACTGAGGAAGATGCTTAGAGTCAGTCCCGGAGGATCCGCCCCTCCACTAAGCCCCGCCCCATTAAGATCCCGCTCTGACGCGCTCCGCCCACAAGCCAACCGCCCGATCTGGCCCCGCCCCGCCCGCGGACACGCCCCGTCATTGGCGCCACACCTACTCTCCGGCCTGGCAATTTGTGGACCCGCCTCTTCCTGTCCGCACTCGCGCCCCGCCTCCCGCCCTGGTCCCGCCTCGTCTCCCCGCTGCTCAGCGCGGGAACAGCTCGGGTTTGAGACGCTGTCTGTGTAGCGTCCGGCGCTGGAGGAGGCGCTGTCACGTCTGGGCCGGCCTCGAAGCTGAGGCCTTAATTAGGGCGGGGGAGTAGAGTGGCGCAGCACCTGCGCCCGGGATGGCGACCCTTGGGACTGGGGATGAAGGATCCGCACCTTGGGCGTCCTTGGAAGCACCCGCCCGCCTCCTGCTGCAGGCACTGCAGGCTGGGCCGGAGGGGGCGCGGCGCGGCCTCGGGGTGCTGCGGACGCTGGGTCGCCGCGGTGGGGAGCCCTTCGACTGGGGCCGCTTCCTGGAGGCTCTGTGCCAAGAGGAGCCAGTCCTTTGGGGACCCGACGCCCGCCTGGAGCTGTAAGTCCTCGGCTTACTGCCCCGCTGCAGTCACCAGAGGTCCGACGGTCGCTTCCTCTCTGTTACTGAGGAGGGGACTGAGCTCAGAGGTTAAATCACTGCCCACCGCGAGGGGCGCGCTACCGCGCAGCCTGGGAGGAGTGGCACTCTTCACTGGGCACCTACTGTGTGCCGGGCAGTGCTGGACACTGTGGATACCAAGACACCTTCTGTTGGGCGTATATAAATGAGTATAAGTAGAGTTAAATAGATTTTGATTGTATACTTTCATTTCTAAGAAAAATAGAATGTACACCTTCACTATAGATAAACTTACGTATGAAGTGCACACGATTGTTAACCTATGTACCTTATACAATAAACCGAAATAGAGTTTTTTTAAAAAAATGTATTCTACTGGGGATTGAATTCACCAGCGTTTAGCCCCTGAGCTACATTCTCAGTTCTTCTTTCTTTTTTTATTTGTTTATGTTGTTTGAGACAGGGTCTCATTAAGTTGCCAGGGCAGGCCTCGAACTTGTGATCCTACTGCCTCAGCCTCCGAGTAGCTGGGATTACAGGCAGAAATAGTTATTTAAAACAGATGTGATAAGTGATGGAATAAACATCTGCTAATTTTGGTGGCTTTCTACTCTTTTTTTTCAAAGTGATATACACTTTCAGGCAAGAAAGAACATTTTCTTTGAGAATAGTAACTACAAATCTATATTTTGGTGTTCTTGATAATTTCCAGTTTTTTGAATGATTTTGGACTTTTTCATACCCTCTTTTCATGGCTGACAAGGAATTCCTACTAGGAGTTTCTAGTGTTGCATGGCCTTTTTCTTATTTGATTGTGCTTCCTTTACTGGCCTCATTCTTGGTCTTTAGTTTCTTTGCAGGCACCCTATCCTTTTAAGCCACCTGTCCATTGTGTGAAGATTCATGTTAAAAAAAAAAGATAATACAGATCTTAACTGCACTCAAGTAGCATAGTTAACTCAAACACATGGAAAATGCAGAGTGAGGTGCCAACCCATCTTCAGCTCCAGTGGTACAGGTCTTCCTCCCTTCTTGGGCCAGGTTCCCCAAAGTTGGCCTGGAAACTGGTATACAGAGAGCAAACTATATGTTAAATTTTTGTACTGTGTAATTTTTTGTGTTTTAGATAAGTAGATAGAAGTTCTATATAGCCTTCCCATACTTTTTGAACTTTTTTTTTCTTTTGTAATACTAGAGATTGGATCCAGTGGTGCTACCTCTGAGCTATATCCCTAACCCTTCTTGGTTTTTATTTTTTTAAATTTGAAACAAGGTCTCATTTAGTTGCTGAGTCTGGCCTAGGATTTGGAATCCTCCTGCCTCAGCCTCTGCGTTGGGATTACAGATGTGCTGAATTTCATGGAAGAGATGGGTTAGGATAACTTGTCTGAATCCCTAAATTGAAAAGTATAGTAATGTTTGTCCAGTTCTCTGCCTTTTTAATGGATACAGTAAGGGAGGGCAAGAGGCTTAACCTAGGGCCCATGGATAGAACTATATTTCAATACACTTAATTTCCTTTGTAACCCTAGGTATTTTGTTTAAAATATTTAACCCTCATTTAGAGAAGGGGCTCATGGCACTAAACAAGATGCCATGGATCCCTTGGCACCACAGACCCTTGGAGTAGGGTCTTCCATATCTCTCTACTCCCAAGAATAATCCTGGCATAAGTTAACCCCCCCCCCTCTTTCTTTTTTCTGTAGTTCTCTCTTTCCCTTTTTTGGCACCAGGGATTCAATCCAGGGGCTCTTCACCACTGACCCATATCTCCAGCCCTTTTTATTTTATTTTATTTTATTTATTTTTTTTTTGAGAATTTTTAATATTTATTTTTAGTTATTGGCGGACACAACATCTTTGTATGTGGTGCTGAGGATCGAACCTGGGCCGCACGGATGCCAGGCAAGCGCGCTACCGCTTGAGCCACATCCCCAGCCCCCCCTTTTTATTTTTTGATGCAAGGTCTTGCTAGGTTGCTGAAGGTCTTGCTAAGTTGATGAAGGTGGCCTTGAACTTGTGATCTTCCTGCCTCAGCCTCTCAAGCTGCTGGGATTACAGGCATGTGCCCTTATGCCCTGCCACATTGAATCTTCCACAAAGAAGTGAAAGTACTTTTTTTCCCTCCTTCCTCTCATGCCAAGAACCTCTGTGTGATATGACATAAAGCCCTGCAAAGTCGCACAGAGGGAGCAGCTCAGGCATGATAGGGGGTAGGCTAGATGCAGCCATGACTTGTTTGCCACATCAAGCCTCAAGTCACACAGGGTCTGGATTTGTGCCTCTGCAAAATTACAGACCGCCGCATTGCATTATGGGCCTTTAGGGCATGGGAGGATAGTGTTTAAATCAGAGAATGCTGGGTGCTTGCAGGAAGGAGTTTTCCTTCTGCCCTTACACCAGGGTTCCAAAAGAAAAGGCTCCCACCCTGCTCTCCCCCATTGCCTCTGTGAATACTGTTTGGAAACTAAAGTTGTAATGAAGTTTATTATCTGATGGTTCCTTCTGTTTGAAGTCTCACCTCCTCTGTGAAGCCTTCTCTGTTCGAAGCAGCCCTTGCCTATCTCTGCACCCTTATTCTCAGAGAGTTAATTCATTCAATAAATGTTCACCTAAGCAATACTGGTACCCAGAGGAAGGAGACTGCCTTTGGTTTTCAGTAATTCACAGTTTTGTGGCAGGAACAAGGGAGATAGTGGGATGAGTAACCCTGACAGTTCCAGGGGATTGCCAGGTGGGGCTTCAGGACAGCTTACACAGCATCCTGGAGTGTTGTTTTGGAGTATTGTTTTGACCTAAAATATGGAAATAGACTTTTTTCTTTGTTATACAAAACAAACCTGGGGCTGGGTATGTGGCTCAGTGGTAGAGCACTTGCCTGGCATGCATGAGGCCCTGGGTTCCATCCCCAGCACCACAGAACAACAGCAGCAACAAGAAGAAGCATGAATCTTTTTTTTGTTATTGTTTTAGTTGTCAATGGACCTTTATTTTACTTATTTATATGCGGTGCTGAGAATCAAACACAGTACCTCACACATGCTAGGCAAGCACTCTTCTACTGAGCTACAACCCCAGCCCAGAAGCATAAATCTTACAGAATAAGTTCCAACATTAATTTCTTAGTTGAAATAGGGGATATCCAAGAGGTTAAGAGCAGGGCCTGGTGTATAGTAGATGCTCAGTGAATACTTGCCAATGACTCATGCTGTCCTCTCTCCATCCACACCAACTCTTGCAGGTGCTGCTATCTGTCTCCCATCTGTCCTCTGCTATTGTGCCCCCAGCCTGCCCTAATCTGCCCTGAGCTTCCTCCAGCAAGACACTCTGACTGCTTGCTCTCCCTCTGCTACCCAGGAAACCACTGTTGCTGCGATTGCCCACATTATGCCGGAGGAACCTGATGTCCCTGCTGATGGCTGTTCGGCCGTCACTGCCTGAAAGCAGGCTCCTCTCTCTGCTGCAGATTGCCCAACAGGACTCAGTCTCTGCTCCCGATGCCTGGCTCCGATCCCTGGGAACACTGCTACAAAGGGATCTGGGGATTAGAGTGTCTCATGAGGGAGCCTCTCCATTGTCCGAAGGGTGCCAGAGACGGCTCCAAGGCCTGTGTAGGCAGCTGGGCCAGGGGGGCAGGAGGTTGAAATTGTCCCCGGCTGCAGACCCTGAAGGGGA